AGGTGATTAGGATTTATGTCGTAACTAGACAAGCGGCCTCAGAATCCTATGACTGAAGTGAAGTTCACTGAGAGAAGTGAAACCTAAAAATTTTAGTATAAAGGAAGATAAAATACTTAAACAAAATGTAATGGACTTAATAAGTTATAACTCTACTTGGAAATGGTTGTCATGTATACCACTTAATCACATTTAAAATCATGCATGATTATCAGTCTCAATGATATAATATAGGGTAAGTTATTATTTTATTAGGAGTAATAGATCTTACAACTTGATTATAAAATCAAACTATCTGAGTATGACCAATATGCAAAATGTTCTAAGACTAATTTGATTATATTTTTACAATTTTAAAATTAAAATATTTTTATAGCTCATCACACTCAAGTACTTTATTATTTTTTTTTGTTAAATCTTAATGTGAGTGATCAGATCAAGCTATTTAATAGGTTATGCAAGTCCTTTAATGGTGAATTTTTAGAGAATTTGTTCATAAGGCCAATTAAAATGCAAATAACCTAAATCACTCTATAGATGGTGGTACTCACAAGACAAACCACCCATTTTAGTGCAATGAGTGAGGGCCTAAAAGATAATGGGTAGAAACAAAATGATTATGCACATGTCAATAATGATATTTTCGTGGTTATTCCAAAATCACAATAATATTTCTGCTTCATTTTATTTAATATCAATTTAGATGTGTTATTTTAATCTTTGCTTGTTTGATTTATTAGCAAATATCTCATTTGATTTATAATTTTATTGAAAACTTTAATTGAGCTCTAATTCATAGCTATATATTTGTAGATTTAATATTTTTTACTTTAAATATCTTTTTCGAATGAAAATTTTTTATCGTGCTTTAATATTTATTGATGAATAATTTGAAGTGATTAGTTAAGAATTTCAATTTTTAGTTATTTAAGTCCAAGCTTTATAAGTTCTAATTCTTTTGGTGTTTGAATATGGGGTTTAGAAGTGGGGGAACATATATTCTCATATTTTCTAATTAGTAAATTTCATCAATATTTGTTATTTGGATTTTTTCTTAGGATCTCACCGACAAGAAGTTTGAAGCCATCCATTTCGTCTGTGATCCTCCTCAGTGATTATCACAATTATGTGAGTCGTGGTAATGACATCAGAAATCTTGGTCAGCACACTAACAACTTAATTGAATTCTTAAAATTAGATGTTATTGCACATTATGGTTTCTCATGCAAGTATACGTATCGTTTTAATAATATGGAGCTCTATTGAGTCTGAATTGTCGATCCAACAGAGAACGAGGTAACGACTCCTTTAAGAAAAGTTATAGTCTACTACTTATAGGTCTTAGTTTGAAATGTTGATTAAGGTGGCTTTCTAACAACTACTACTGAATTACAACGCTAAGTTTAAAGTTAAGCCTAACTAGATCGGTTAGGTGAATATTGATCACGATTCTCTTTATAGATATCAATGCGATGTATGTGATTATATGTTTAATTTTTTTATTTATAATTCTTAACTTGCAACAAAGTCAAAAACTTGATCCCAAGCAAAAGCTAGGTAAATTATTAATTTCAAAGCAAGTAGAAATACAATTATAATATTTAATATGAGATACTACGCAAGTATATTATCATTATCAAGTAATATAGAACTTTTTGATTAAGCATCAAATATCGAACCCACAGGGAAAATATAATATGCACTTTATAAAATAGGAGAAATTAGATAACATAATTATACTAAGCAAAATATTCTTACTTAAACTCTATATACTAAAATAGGAATGAAAGTTCAATTCTTTTTGTAATTTTTGGTTGTTGAGAATACAGTAAGCAACTAACTAACTTAACTAGATATTTGTAAGATGAATGCAATATAAATAAAATATTTTTTCCTTATCATGAATCAGTAACAAGTATAGGAATTCTGTTGTGGAAGTATTCTAATTGTGTTGTGTCAAATATGAGAAATAATATTCTTTACTCTTATTATAGATGCTATAAAAAATATTGGCTAATTTATATGTTTGAATAGCTTTGAAGACGGGTTAGATAAGGAAGATGCTAGCTCTCACCCTAGAGTTCCCTCTTCTCCCTATACCTGGAGGCTAACATCTCGTATCAGAACCTAAAACTATATATCAAATTGGGGGCTTTAGCTTCACTGTAAAGTCCTCTAGTTCTACATCCTTTAAAGTTTATTTCCCTATTTATTTGCACTCAACCCCATGAACTACATTATCATTCATGAAATCAAATGTGATTCTTATCATTTGTTGACTTGAGACAATACCATCTCAGATATTACATGTTCTCATGACAAATATTAACATATTAATGAGCCAAATCAATAAGTAAATGAAGTAGAAGGTTTAAAATCATTACAACTTCTTCCAACATTAAAGTTTTAAAGTTTAATACTTCCAACATTAAAGTTTAATACTTCACACAACTTCCCTCCAATAATTAATCACTTATCATTTTAAGGAAAAAAATAAAGAAAACTACTCAGAATTCATGTAGAAAACACAACCACGCCTGAGCTTAAAAGTAGAAATCATGCACACAAACAAGAAGTCTAAATTAAAACCAAATGTAGTCACAAAGATAAAAGCTTATCTCAAATTCCTCTCCACCAAATGTCTTGAAGTTCCTTTGAATCTCTTCCTTCACTCACAATATAAAATACACTCAAAATAAAAAGAAAAGGTGGACGGCAACGGCGAGACGTATGTGGTGGTTGGCACTGGTCGGTATGGATGGATGGATGATGATTAGCCTCTTCCATGGATGATCTAAGTCTTCTTTTATAAAAATCCAAAAGGTGCATTTGTGTCTCTTCAGAATGTGTCCTCATTCAATGAATCTTCTAGAAGTTGTCTCCTTTCAAAAGCTAATTGAATGAATTTTTGTGTCCATTAACTATTTTTCACGTTTTTACCAAGGGTTGCTTCAAACACATCTTCAAAAATTCTTCTAAATTCAATGAATCATCAAATAACTACTTATAACTCTTAAGTGCGGGTATCTGGTGCTTAGACACGGCTCTCTTTGTTTAATGGGCGCATAAGCGCTTAATAGGCGCATAAGCGCTAGTCCTGGGCGCTTAGGCGCCCCAGTTCATTTTTGCACCTTCTTCATTTTTGCTCCAAATTTTATCATTTTTCACTCATTTTACCATTTTTCATCCAATTGATTATACCTGAAAAAAAACGCACAAGTACCTTTCATTAAAGCTCAATATCTCAAAAATAGGTATAGAAATGTGTACATAAAGACCATATATTTTAGGTATATCAAATATCAAGATATAAATGCTACCTTTCTCTTGTGATTGCATAAGCGGATTGTAGGATTGAATACGTTGAATTACTATTGTTGCTTGTGAAAAATAGAAGCATATATGTTGTTTACCCTCTTTCGAGCGAGTAAAGAAGTTTGGTTTAACTTAGTAAATGTTCCTGCCTGTCACTCCAAAAACCCCTTAAGTTATACCTATCAAAACCTATCTCCATATCTATTTGAATTGCCTCATAGAATCTATTCCTTCACACACTAGTTCAATGTGATCTTCGTAGTTGTTCATGTCCTAGTTTTCCCAGGTCATTATGGGTTTACGATGAATTTTAACAAATCATTTGACAAGAATGATAAGCAAATTAAGTGCAGAAGGAAAAATCATCAAATTAATGATTTGAGACCAATTATATAAGCATCCTAACTTCTAACAAATCCTACTTATTCATCACAAGAGAAACGTAAAGGAAATCTACTCACAAAGCATGAAAAACACCATAGAAATCCTGATCATTTAATGAAGCAAATATGCTAAATATGTGTATACAACAAGTAAAAGACAAATGGTAACACGATACTTAGCTTTTCTCCTCTGAAAAGAGGATAAAAGTCCCTTAAACAATTTATCCAAATGCTCCCTGCAATGCTGAAATGATCCCCTTACAAATTTCTCTCAAAACCCCTCACCAATCTCTCAAGAAAAGTGAAAATCTACAAACCCTATATCTACCTACGATTCTTTGGTCTCCTTGGGGTTTCCAAGGGTTCAAAGAAAGAGCGAGCGAGAGTTCCTCTCAAAGTGTTCTTAATAACTCCCTGAAAACTTGGCTACGATGGCCTCAACATTCAAGTTGCCATCACTTGGCTGGCGCCTAGGTGCCCTGTTCCTGGCTCCATGTCCTCAGCCTTTAAATTTCCTTTTTCACCAAATCTTCTCCATTTCGATCTATGTTTCTTCCACTTTGTTCCACTTATAATACTTGTTTTATGTGCAAGAAAAACATAATAATATCTTTCTTTAAAGTGTAATTTCATTCAAAAAGAAGTGCAAAATATAACAAAATTCACGTAATCTTTTCACACATCAGTCTGCCTCAGGATAGCTTCAAGGCCACTTGATACCCCGATTGCGACTAGATTTACCTCGCCAAGGCGCATATAGAAATCTGCATGAGGAGTAATTTAGCATAGGATCATTAAAAAAAGTGCATGAATATGCATTGTAATCATAAGCAATCAATCAATCTAGTGATTATGAAAGTTAAATTTATACAATGCTCCAACAAATGGCTGAAACCTATTCCTTTAATCACATGGTGTTTTTTTCAGTATTTAGACGATATGAGACTCGTTGGATTCGTGTCACACCAGTGCTTGATTTAATTACAAGCATGCCATATTTGTAGATCATTCTAGTCTCCAATTGATGTACAAAAGTTTTCCATTATGCTTCACATTCTTGATACAACCTCATTTGGATTTAGATCATAACATTCAGTTTGGCTCCAAGGTTTAGTAAAATGTAAGTTTGGACTAGGAGTTTTATCTCATGATGCATTGAAATATGTGAATGATCCACATTATATCTTTTAGTGATGGATCAATCATTAAGCATATTGTTAGCCTTCACAATCATTAAGCATATTGTTAGCCTTAACATAAAGTGCCACGCCTTCAAATATCCAGAACTATATATTTTAACAATACGATAAATGCTCACAGTTATACATACAAATCAACGCTTTCTTCTGGCCCCCCTTGTCCCCCCGAATTTCCTCCCATCATCTGTATCTTCCTCAATCCTTGCCGGCATGGACGCCACCACTGACTCCCACCTCGCGGCCGGCGATGGCATCGAAGACCACTCCGGCGCGTCTGCCGCTGCGGCATCTAACAACGGATGGCAGAAGGTGACCTACGGCAAACGCCAGCGCCGCCAGAATCCGGCGGCCACCCCCCGCCGCAGCTGATCAGCTGTCACATGGCGTCTCCCCTCTAGAAAGTTCCAACGTGTTCGCATCGGTCGAGCAGAAGGCCCACCCGGGGGCCCCGCCGCGCCATTGAATCGGCTGCGGCCGCTGCCGTTCATGCTTCTGAATCGAGGTCTGCGGTTGCTGCGGCTGCTTCTGATGAGGATGAGGACGATAGCGGAGCAGAGGGAGCTGGGCAGGAGAACGGGCCGGAGGAGGTGAAGAAGGTCAAGCAAAAGAAGCCTAAGAAACCCAAGGTAACGGTCCATGAGGCCGCTTCTAAGATTGATGATGCAGATCTCGCTGCATACCTTGCAGAGGTGTCGGTGAGTACTTGATTTGTTTATTTTATACTATTAACTTTGAATTACACCTTAGATCCAAGCCGTATGCTCTTTCATTTTCTCAATTGTTCAATGACGTTCTAAAAGTTTAGATCTTTATCCAATTTTTAGGTTTCCTATGAGTCGCAGTATGATATCCAGCTGATGCGTTTCGCTGATTACTTTGGGCGAGCATTTTCCAGTGTCAGTGCTTCGCAGTTCCCTTGGACGAAGCTATTGAAAGAGTCACCTGTTGCTAAAAACATTGAAGTGAGTTTTGTTTGCCTTTTTTCTCTTATGTTTTGCTTCAGTCGTGTATGATATCTTTTTTTGTGGCAATTTTATTTGAAAAATTAGTTTTTTTATTTATTTTAGTTGTTTCTGAAACTAACTGTTCAGGAAGTAAGTTATTCTTTCCAGATAAGTGGTAAGATTGGCCTTCGAATGTTGTTAAGATAAGCATGGTAGTATGAATCAAATTGATTTTGTGTTTTCTTGCCTGATAAGTGGTAAGACTGGCCTTCGAATGTTGTTAAGATAAGCATGGTAGCATGTATCAAATTAAATTTGTGCTCTCTTTGGAATTCCCCTTATTGCTGGAAATGTTATTTACTGGCCTACATCAATTAACAGAATAATAGGCTGGACTGAATGTTTTTTTATATATTGCAATGAATTAACTACTTTATGCGAAGTTTGAAACTTTTTATCCCAGAGAAGACCTTTAATAAGCAAGTTAGTCTCTTTCATGCAAATTAAGCTATAAATTTAAGTTACTTCTCTTTCCTTGAAACAGATCCCTATATGTCATATTTCGGAGTCAGTTTACAAAACATCAGTTGATTGGATTGCTTCAAAATCACCTGAGGCTCTTGGTGATTTTGTTTTTTGGTGTCTAGATTCCATTATTGCTGATCTTGCAGCTCAGCAGGCTGCTGCTAAAGGCTCTAAAAAGGCCACCCAGAAACCTTCTTCAAAGTCTCAGGTAATATACATTGCTTCTATGTAAATTACCTCTCTTCTTTGGCATGAGCTCTTAATCTTTGTTTCATCTAGTTTCTTAAATAGCTATCATTTACTTTTGGCCAGCTGAAGATCTGAAACTAAAGTGTAGCTGAAAAACTTAGCTACCATATGAGCTTGTTGATTTTAGTATCTAAAATTCGATTTTTTGTGTTCTTTGCTATCATTTGTTTATGTATGAATTCTTTTGTTGAAATACATTTCTCTCGTAGTATCATGTAAAGGTTTTGTGTTGTAGTATCTTAACAATTGATATTCAAGGCTAAAAGAGGCTGATATCTTCTTTGCCCTTTTCATTATTAGTTTATTTACTTTTATTTTACCTGTGGATCTCAACCAATCAATGCTACAGAAATGACCAGAGAGAGTTATTAGATTTATATTTTCATGTATTCTAAAAGAAGGAACCAGTATCATCACAACTGGCTGGATGTTTGTCTAACAATATGTGGATTTGTGACTGGTAAATTGCCAAGCGGATGAAATTTTGTGTATTATCTGGCAGCTTAATCTGCACGAATAAATTTCTGAAGTGTTGTTTAAATAAAGGGGGATTTACATAAATACCGCTCAATTCTTTAAAAATAACAAATCTAACACCTAAAATATCATATTTACAAGCCTAACATCTATAACTTCAATAAAACCACAAAATTACCAATCCCTTATCCTTAATTACAATCTTCCTTTTCCTCCCCAAAATCCAACAGTCTATCTCGCCTTCTCTAGCAAGGTCAGGAACCAAGGATTTTGTTGATTGCTTTGCTTCCAACTAGATGAGGGCTTGAAGACAGGGAACCAATCAAACTATATTCTCCACTGAGTGTGAAGAAAAATAAAGCTTTTTCCAACACCTTATTGTAGTAGGTAGATTCTTCAATATGGAATATCATCCATATTCCAAGCTTCTTGCTAGCATCCGATAAGAAAAAGTTTTCAAGGGATTGAAAACCGAGCAAACAAAATAACAAGTTTTCAATTCTTTGCGAAGTTTTCAAATCACGAAATCTACAATATCAAATTTCACGGAAAGAGCTAGGGAAGTTCAACAAAAGCATCAATATGATTGCCATAAAATGAAACAAGTGGTCCCATAGTTTCTCCAAGCTGAATATATGACTTAAAGATAAATAATGAAAGCACAGACAAAGCAAGCCGATCTGATGAAAACCCAAAGAGACGGGAATCAAGCCGATTCAAAATTTTGCAAAACAGTTGCAGGACTTGGAAGGCTAGGTGCAACTCTACACTTGAGAGAGATTGCTTGCGCAGAGGTTTCGTGCCCAGGATTTTGGGGAGGAAGACGGAGATTATAACAAACGGTGAGAGAGTGGTATTTTTGTGGTTTTATTGAAGTTTAAGGTGTTAGGTTTGTAAATATGATACTGTAGGTGTTAGATATGTTATTTATAAAGAATTGGGTAGTATGTAAGTAAATCACCTTTAAATAAAAAGAAAGTCAAAAAATAAGAAGGCGTTGAAATAGGTTGGGAAAAAAAGTGGTTTTGAAGGAGAACTACATTTGGGAAGAAAGAGTACCTCTCCCACTCGGTGCCATCTTGTTTCCGTAATAATCAAACTCAGTCAACTTATTATTTATCTGCTTTGCATGGGAAGCTCTCTACTTTTCAGCAACTTGACATTGTGATTTGGTCATTCATTGGTGCTTGTATTTGTTCACGCTCTTGAATGATTTTTTTTTTCTAAATTGCAATGCAATGGCATGATTGAATAACTTTTGACAGAACTGATGATATCTATGTCAGATATGCCTGATGACTGCAAATTTTTTTTTTTTGGTTCAAGCATAAAGGCAGAATCATCCAACATCAAATTAATTTGAAGATTTCTAGGTTTTGGTTAGATAAATGAATCATTTTGCTGGTTTTTTAAGTAATAAATATTAAGCGATATCCTATTCAGTGATCTAAAAAGCAAGATCAGCGATCGATTCTACATAGGAAAACTAAATTTTAATCATAACAAAATAAGACAGTTGCTTTACTAACTATGAAGCATATAAACGGAGACACTTGCATGACACCGCATAATTACAAAAAAATAGAATACGAACATCATTTTTATATTTTGTAAATTACACAACAACAACTATTGAGTGTAATAAATTATTAATATAAAAAAAAATATTTTTTTCATTCTTCACGGCTACAAACATTTCAAATAAAATATGCGAGAATAAAATTTAAGTTGTATTATGAAACCTCTTGCTTAAAGTAATCAACTACAAAATTAGACAAATTACATGTTTTAAAAAAATTCCTCCAACTTACCTAGTAAAATTTAAAATATCCTACAATTACAACTTGTTCATTTAATTAAGTTAACATATGTATATATTTCATACATATACACATAAAATTAGCTCTTACAGGACTAAGGCAACATTGACTTTACTCTTCTTCGGCAAATAGAAGCTTCAGAACAAGTGTCAAGGTTTCAGGTTCGGCTCAACGTAAGGTATTCAGTTTGGTTTCAATGAATAAGTTTGACTTCTGTTTAGGATGCGGCGAAGGAGCTTAAGGCCTATGCATTAGTGAGTGTACATTCAACTTCAACAAATAAAAGGGAACTCCAATGCTCGGCTTCAAAGAATGCAATGTTTGGCTTCGACGAATGCAATGTTCGGCTTCTACGAATGCAAGATGGACATTTGATGCTTGCCTTCGATGAATGCTAGATGCATCTTCAATTCTAGGCTCAAGGACCCTACTTCGACAAATGTTGTAGGGAGCTTCAACATGACAATAGAGGAGGCAGCTTTGATTATGATGTGTAGTTAGGGCTACACATATATTTATAATTTTATACTTCTCATTTCCCTTTTTTCCTAAATCGCGCCCAACCCATGTCTAATGTTTTATTGAGGTGTGTCCCATACATGTCCTATTCTGAAAATTGATTAGATTTTATCTTTCTTATTGATTAAACTTGAATCTTATTTGTATGTATTGTGTTCATATACAATAAGAGAAACTTTCATCTAGACATTTTCAAAATTATAACCAAAGAGAGAACTAATAGAAGGCTTTTTTTTTTTTTTTTTTCATTTATTTAAGCAAGAGATATATTATTTAAACAAGGCGCGCATAGAGAATTGGGTAGTATGTAAGCAGATAAATAATGAGTTGACTGAGTTTGATTATTACGGAAACATGATGGTACCGAGTCGGAGAGGTACTCCTCTTTCCCAAATGTAGTTCTCCTTCAAAACCACTTTTTTTCCCAACCTACTTCAATGCCTTCTTATTTTTTGATTTTCTTTTTATTTAAAGGTGATTTACTTACATACTACCCAATTCCTTATAAATAATATTGTTTAAAAAAATATTCACGCGTGCACACACACATTGTTTATATTATAGAGTAAGCTATATTGAGATAGAGCCAACTATTTTTAAAATACAACTTAAAAAGAGATCCTCTTTTAAAATTTTTATTTTCTTAATGGTAAGACATTATTTTAATTTAAAAGCTAAAGACATGCTAAATGAGACAAATTTCATCTATCTAATATTTATTCTAATATTTTTTCAACTTCTATAGTTATTATTTTAAGGGAAATTTACTCACATCACATGAAAATCATCTTTATGTTTAATACTAATGCCTATTCCATATTTATGAATCATCAAAATCATGTATTTGCATATTACGGTCCAACCATTGAGAATTTGACAAAAACAAAAAATGTGAGTGAATAAGGCTTTATGGTGAATTTTGATTTGTGGATGGACATTTGTAGAAATGAACGTATGAGTAGGGATGCATAAGAATTTGTTATTTGCAAATAACTTGTGTTCTTCTTGTTAAGTAGTTGGTATTCGATTCATTTGTTAAGTGAGCTGATAAAATTTTTTTTAGCTCGATTTATAAACAAGCCATACATGAACAAAGGTTATTTGATAACGTTCGGCTTGTTTTGCCCCAAAATAATTATATAAATAAATAATATTATTAATTTATATCCTTTTTATATTAATTTTTTTATATTGTATTAACAAAAATGCAATATAAGAGATTTGGGTGGTATAAATGTACGAAGTAAGTTTAGGTGTTAGATATGTAATTTCATAGGAAATGGTTGGTATGTATGTAAATGTCCAAGAAAAAGCATGGAGTATGGACATTGAGCACTCATGAATTTTTTTGCCTTAAAATTTAGTGATATGTACCATTATTAATATTACATTTTATTATGAAATAGATCAATAGATAGCTGCAAGCTATGCTCTTGTTTCTCAGGAAGCTGAATCTCACGTTCCCACAAATACTAAGATTTTTTTTTTCAACTATTTTTATTTATTTATTTTTTTATATTTGTTTGAACATTGTAATTGCCGGGTCTCAAGACTCAGATGCGAAAAGTGAAGATTTGCTTTAGGTACTCGACAACAAGCATAAATTTTTATCTAAAAATTATGGCACGAATCATTTAAATTATTGTGTAAATGTTAGGACGTCTCCTATAAGCTACATGTTGTATAACCTGAATATAATGAAAAGTATAAGAGCCGCTACACCGGCTTCAAGGTGTAGTGTTAAATAAGGGTTCCCACATTATGGACGGATGCGGGCAAAAAAGTTAATTCGTGAAACTAATATTAGGATATGATATTATAATATATATACTCTCATAGGTAAATTAATGGAATTAGCATAAGAAGATAAATATCTTATGTATTCAAGAAACTAAATAGGTTGGAGAAAACGTTAACGAGATTGATAACTTAGGTTTTTAACGTTGATATTCATGTAGGATTCACGTTAAAAATGATGTTGGTGTAATTATAGATAAGAGTTTAATAGATAATGTTGTAAAAATTAATAAAATTAGAAATAAAATTATAGATCTAAAGATTGTTGTTGATACCATAACTTTTAATGTTATAAAGTGTTTATACTTCTCAAGTAGGTTTAAATATATGTTTAAAAGAAAAATTT